TTATTTGAAATCATAGTATCAATTTAATTTTCTTGTTATATAATATTCTCGTTTTGTCTTCCATAACATAACATAATAAATAACATATAACATAATGAATGTAAATATTATATTATTTCTGAATTTAGTATGAATTTTGTTTACATAGCATTTTTTTATTTGGCATCTTTATAAATTTATTGCAAACTCTGTTTAAGTAGCATTTAATTGAAGGATCATTTCGCTTTTTTACATCTTCTATTTGTCTCTAAGTTGTTATTTACAAAATGATTATACTGCTGACATACTGATTTTTTAATGAAATATTGATATTAACAATCATTCCGCAGTATTTAGGATACTTATTCTTTATTGCTGGAAGAAATAAGACTGATTATTTACATAGATTATCAGGAGTTTGTGTAACGGCAGTGAAGCACTTGTGTGCAGGAGACCTAAGCTTGTAAGATTATTTTTATTCTTCAATACTGTCCAATTTCTACATAAATATAATACTAATATTTTCAAGATTTAAGACAAAGAATATTTTACTACATTACTAACACAAATATTAGAAAAATGGGTTTATTTATATACAATGAACAATCATTTCTTACTGACTGTACAGAGCAACTACTAGTTAATTCAGATCTCAGTACAACTTCACAAAAAGCATTAAAGGAGGCTGCCGATAATTTGACAAAAGCTGGACATGCCTTGATTTATGTAGGAAATAAGTTTTTATCACTTTATTCAAGGTATATGCTCAGCTATTCAAATAATTTTTTTTTTTTCATTAATTTAGTATTTATTTTAATAATTGATTGATATTTTAGTGTAAACTCGTATCCCTTGACATCAGAAGATTTATTATTTTTGAACATGTTTTGCCAAGTCGCTTCTATTGGTTCAAAACTTAAAGATAACGAAATTGATGCAGATGGCGACCAAGGTTTGAATTAGAATTTAAATCGATCTAAAATACAAGTACATACATTTTTTTTATTTATAGATTTTCAAACCGAAGTATATACAAATACTTTATTCTTAAACGTCGGAAATACCAAGCCAAGCTGTATTCCACATATAATCTATACAATACCTCTATCATCTACAATAACATTAGTATTGATAAGTGAACATTGTCACTACAATATCGCGCCTAGTTTGCATGAGTCATTCCTTTCCTTGAATTTATTAAAACTTTGTTTACAACAAAGAGAAATGGATCTTTTAAAACCAGCCTTTGAAAATTTAGACGCTTCTATGAAACATATCACTGATGGTTTAAAAAAGTGCAAAATCAAAAACGCGCATATTGACAATATGCATAGAAATCTTCACAATAAGTGGGAAGTAGTGAAAAAAAAATACTCGGATTTTTTCAAAACTGATAATAATGACTACTTAGTTAGCGTTGATTCTTTGATGGGCGTTTTGTGGGAAGCATTGAGATATTTGTTTCATGCTGCATGTTTTTCGGAAGAAGTATCCAATAAAGAGGAAACTAGAGCTATTGATGTAGCACGCAAAGTCAAGAGCAGATTATCTTCATTTTCAGATTTTTTGCAAGTAAAAGCCATGAAAAATTTCACACTTGGATCATATCCTTTTGAATCATACTTCTATAATATTACTTTATCACACAATATTTTAAAAATCTGTTAATAATTTTTTTCTTAACATCACACAAGATCTTCTTTGTCTATTAACAAATATCTGGAGGAATTTCCAGGCATGGTGCATTTCATTTACATTGATCGAACACAGAATCGTATGACCGCTCCCACATTAGATTTTACTTCACAAGAAACGTTATCTCTTACTAAGGAAAAGGTATGTTTTATATAATTTTGTTTTTTTTTTCTAATCATTTAAAAAAGTTGAAACAATGAATATTTATAATTTTTCACTTATTATTTGTATGTTGTGTAACAATTTAGGTCTGGTCAATGGTTGAATTTTCAAATTCATATCTAAGTAGAGGGCATGCTTCGCTGATATGGAAAGATTCTGTATTTTGTTATGGACGATTTTTATGGTTCTCAGAACGTTCTGGTACTCCAATAGCACCACCGAATGGTGGAAGCTTGCCCAACAAGCATGAAATGCTAACAACCTTACCTGAGCCGGGGCTATTATGCGGCGATTTTTATCAGTAAGTATTTTTATATAGAATAATTGAATAATTGGAAAAAGTCTGTGTGTGTTTATGTATGTGATCCGATTTTTGACCTTTTGTCCACGTTTTCAATGCGATTCAATGTAACTCGATGAGGATCAGAGTTAGTCAGCTTTGTGCGACGATCAGCCAAATTTTTTGTAATTAGCAGATGAGTGTAAAAATTTTCGCTACGTTTCAGCCCACAATCTTGAATCTTTTTTGAAAATTCAACAACTGTTCGAGAGATATTGGATGGGAATTGTGTTGCTTAGGTTTTGGTAATGATCGGCCGGTCGTTTCTTCGTACTTAAATGTTGAAAAACATGTGTTGACGATATTGATAAAATGTATTTTATTTTTGAATGACGATAGATTTAAAGCCTGAAATAACACACTGAAATATTATAGACCTACAATAAGCGGTTGAATTATAAAAAATCATCAAAGTTTTGAATTTCGTCGCGCGTTTAGGCGATTCTAATCAGAATCTGTGTGTAAGCATATGCACGTTCTGTGCAACTGATTAGCAACAGTTGATTTCCATAATTAAATAAAATACATTAAAACCCGAAATGTATGAAATGGAATTTGTTACAAATCAATCGCATTGACTAATTATCAATTAAGAGAACATTTTATTTTTGATTATGTTGATTATGTATTATATTATAATGTAGTATATTTTATATTATTTCTCTTTATTATATTGAGCAAATATTAATTTGAAAAACTAGTCGTTGTTGTAAGCATTTTTCCTAAATGCAGCTTGCATTTTTATAATAAAGAGAAATATTATAAAATATACTGCAGATTCTGCGCATTTTTATACAAAAGAAAAAGAAGTCCATGTGTATAGTAATAAATTTGAACATTTTAATATTCTGAATAATTTCAGGAAGCTGACAGCAAGTGCGTTTCCCAAAACATCTCCTTCAAAGATTCTATGTTATGAATTATACAGCATTCATCTCGGCTTGACCACTACAAGCTGCGTCCTAGAGCATGCCAGAAGATTAGCGGCCACTATTTGGGAAGTTACTGGTGCACCTCTGAACCCTTTGGACTTATTTTAAGCCCCAGCAATTAAATGTGATTTATTTCATTCTGATGTGTCAATGGTCCGGTTTTTCGATTAGCGAATATTCTTAATTTAAGAAGATTTTTATGCAATAATGTTTTTGCATATGTTTCGTTTGAACCAAATACATTGAGAAATGCCGAAATGAGATTCAAGTTTGATTGTAAAAGTAGTTGCGGCTTAGCTGTGTAGATAAGAATTTGCTGATTTGAAGTCACTCATTAGTGGCAGTGTCTAATCATGACCATTTATTTACTAGGAGAAGTAAAGGTTTAGTTATTAAAGGTGAAACACTTCTGCTAACTTTTTATTTATTTATAGTACTTTTCTTATTTGGCTAAATTATTTTTTCATTTTGTGTGAATAAATTTAATAACAACCCAATTTCATAAACCGATATTTTCAAGTATCCTTTCTGCTATTATATATTTTATTACAACATTGGCTCGATGAAAAACATTATCGGAGTAGTACATCTCAATGGTGCTCTGCTATCCTTAATAATCGCCAGGCTTTTATTTCAAAATATACCAAAAAAAAATTATTAGGACGTGTGTGATCATTTTTAGTCTTAATATAATATTGTGTCAAAATTGTATGTAATGACCAAAAGTAACATTTAATGTTTTTTGTATAAAAATGTTAAAACTTAGCTGTTGTTAGAATTTTCATAGGTGTCTATTCCGTCCCAGTTAGATTTTCATTTATAGTAGCTTCTGTTGACTATAACTGTACTATTCCATGTTGCAATTGGAGGTTTTTTAATAATATTCCGTGTCTAAAATGTCTTTAAATAAATACTAACTATTGATTTATTACGTTCAATATATATATTGTATAGAATTATATACAATGAGATCCAGAATGTAGGGATGCAAAAGCTGTACAATTTTTTATTGTGAGATTAATTGTTAAGTTCAAATATTACGAGATAATAAACGTCATGTTAAAAATTCAAATATTTTATTCATCAAAAGCACTACAGTGTTTCAGGTATTTTAGATAATACCATCTCAAATAACATCGAACATAAAAGTGACCCGGCGCTTCCATCATTGTGACGATTTAAAAAAGGGTTGAAGGGCCTCTTTGGGGACGATGCTGCTATGTAGTACAATTATAGCATCGCTCCCCAATACGAAAGGTTACCTCAACACTCCAGTCGCCCGCTAAAGTACCTGTAATTACCTGTGGGGGTTTGTAGCTACTATACGGCGAATAAAACCAAGATTACTTTTATAACTAAATCTATTTAATAATTAATAATACATCGCGTATGTATCTGTGGAACATGACTGTACTTGCATACGTACAGTCATGTTCCCTAACTAATACCACTTATTCTTATATCATGGTATATGCGCCTATATGGGGAGAATAGCTACTGCTTATAGTTTACATGATCTGACGTTTAAGATGAGCCTGTCTTGTGGCATAACACACGGCAACTTGTTAATTGCTCTGGGTCCCCAGTGGGTCTTTCTGTTGGACCTCAAGAACCGATAAATAGTAAAGGGTAGGGATGCTGTACTTTGGGTTTGATGACCATCAGGCGACAATAATTATCAATGAGACGATAATATTGATTATCGTCATAGTATATAGGTTTTCAAAGTATTGCTGCAAATATTAGACATATTGTAATATATATTATATCAGTATTAGAAATCTAATAATAATCTAATCAGACAAAGAATGATAATCATCTCAACTGCTCATAAAACGTTATGAATGCTGTTCAACAATATAAATTCACTATTTTACATTATAAATGTAAAGAATTATACCACTATAATCTAATAGCTTTTAAAATATTAAAACCTCTTCTATTAAGACCTCCATCGTCTTATAAAATATATAATTCATATTTTTCAACGTTAAAATTAGACAAAATATTTAGCATCTGAATATTCGGCGCATACTTAGATTCGCCATATATAAGTTTGACAATATTTTTTTCATCTAGAATACTATTTTCAAATGAAAATCACCGTAACAAATTTTAAATCCGTATAAGCATATCGTTTTAGAAAAACTTTTAACAAAATTTTAGTCTTATTTCCTTTTCAATTATTAAGAATGAATCTATTCAATTCATAAAAATCTAAAACAGTTTAAAATGGCACCGAATATAATTTCAAATGGAGAAAAGAAAAGGGCGATGCGGAGTATGAATGTAGTTCTGGACGCAATTGGCACTTTAAAGGATAAACTTGGTTCTGCACCCAGCGGCATTTGCGACTACATTTCTGCTGTATATGGAATAGATCCAAAATTGATTAAGGTGAATATACTGCTGATAAACTGTCAGTAATTTTTTTGTTTATTTTTGGACAAATTACTATGAATGCGTTAACGCAGTAATAATTATTACTTGAAGTAGTTACATTATCGTAATAATAATATCGTATAGCGTCATGACAGAATTCATTTTTTTATTCAATGCTTGGTCAATAGCCCTGAATTATTCCTAATAATTCTATAACTAACTATTATGTAATAAGTATTAAAATCAGCAAAATTGACAATTCATTCTTCCAGGCTAAGGTTAGAGTAACACTTAAGAAATGTTTATTAGCTGGCTTAATATCAAAACGAGATGGCCTCTATAAATTAACTTCCTCTGCCCATATACAAACTTCTAAACTGCCAACTAAAGAAGTTTGCTGGTGGTACCGGCAAGGCGGCAAAAAGTCGAGAGCGAGAAGATCAAGGTAGATAGAATAATAAAACATTATTTCAAAATTTATTACAACACTTTTGTTTTACAATTGAAATATCTTCCGGTATATTGCAAATTGTTGATGTTTTTCAACAGTTTTTGAATATTATACATTTATATTGAATAATGATCATTATACATTTTTGTTGTATTTTTAATCATTTATTTGCTTTAATTTTTATCTATTTGCTTTATTATCTACTTCATTACTTAATTTAGTAACATGCACACACAAAAGGTATAAATTTATGTACATCTTTAAACATAAGTTTATGAAGATATTCTTTTAATTAAAAGAATATATTCATAAACTTATGTGTAAAGATGTATATAAATTTATATTTTACTTAATTTACTTAAGTAAATTTCTTCATAATTAGTGTAAAGTTGCTGAAGTTGTACCCCTTAAGAAAATAATGATATAATTTTTAGTGCATTTAAATTAGTAGTATTTGGTGTTTAGTGAATCTATATTTAGACGTCTTTTGATTAAGAATTACTGAAATGTTCTTTTTTATTAAAATATGTATTTCTGCCCTTTCGGTACGATTAGGGATCTAGTCGCCTTAGTCGTACCTACTATATACAATTCAGCCTGAGATCAACTTTTCTTCGGTTATTCGTAAATAATTGCAAAATAAAAAATATAAAAATAATAATTTAAAAAGTAACAAATGTAGAAAAATGAGCAAAACCATTGGAAAATTGTATTTAACCTTTATTTCTTTGTATTTAACAAAAAAATCATAAAACATATATGCAACTTAATGTGCAAGTTCTTGGAAAGTTTGAAATAAAATCTTCTGATCTAACCTTAACAAATTCTACCATTTAAATATATCTAATCGATGGCCTAATAAGTGTTATAAATAAAGATTAGTCAGAAAAAAGTCATAATCATATTATTGCCGTACAACTGAATCCATTAGTTGAAATTTTACAGCTCACTTTTTCTTACTTTTGAGTGCTCCTATTTCACAAAGCTGGACAGCCGTTCGATTGTAAACATTTCTTTAGTCAATTAAATAGTCCTACTTAACGGTAACGGATGATGTAATTTATAAATATCAGACAAAATATAGCCGACTTAAGCAACCTTGCCCTGTTTGATAGATTTTCTCATGTTTGCTAAACCAAGCACTTCAGTAATTATTAGTAAAAATTATTAGTAAAAATGCATATTGAAATATTAAAAATATAGTATTAGTATAAGTAAAATTTAATTTGAAGTGTTAATTGTTTGAGTATTATAATACTATATATAGCAATTATATATATTTATTAGATCAAAATCCAAATCGCCTAAAAGACGCAAGGGCAAACGCCGTGGCCGTGGCCGTAGCCGTAGTCGTAGAAGCGGACGCAAATCTAGAAGGAAGAGCCCCAAACGCAGGAAGGGACGTGGTAAAAGTCGCAGGGGCAAAAAGCGTCGTGCAATAAATGTTTTGCCCAAAAATGGAAAATATTTTCGAATGACCAAGTACGTGATATTCTGAAATGTTCATTTGTTTTATAAAACTAATATTCAAAAGCGTATAATAATAGATAATTTAACCAAATTATTTTGCAACAATATTACAAATGCTGAGAATAGAACAATAAGATCAACTTTATCCTGTTTTATAAAAAAAATATGCTGATATACCTATTTAAAGTATTTTGCAGCCCAATCGTCAAATTAAAAAAAGGTTAAAATAGAAAAATTATTTATACTATTAAACGTTTTGACACATAAGATCAGTGCTGGATTTACAGTAGGGGCAGTCGGGGCTACTGCCCAGGGCGGCAAAATTTGGATAGCAAGAAAAAAAATCTATACAATGTAGTTAACTGATTGTTTTAATAACATTTTTTATATCTAGAAAAAAAAATTAACAAAACATAATACGATTGCAATGCAAAACTTGGGTTCAAATAACCGATTAATAAAATTTATTATTTTGCCTTGCCTTCCTCTCCGAACGTAAATTATCAAATTGGTTAATACTCGTAAGTCATTATCAAATTCGGCAATTTGGCTAATATAAAAATTCGTGAATGAGCTGAAAGTTTAGGGAAAATATATTATTCAGATCTCAAGCCCTCTTAAGATGAAGAAATCGTGCACTTCCAAGCTTATAGCAAATTACTGGAACTTTTCCGTACTGAAAATTACATTCTATAAAGAGCTTTAAAATTTTTTGAAAAATGTAAAAAATTGACTTTAAAAAACTCTTTTTTATATTTTGATTTTTTTTGAAAATTATGAACTTTTTTCAAAGCAATCGCGATGCATAGCTGTTTCAGAGACGAAA